CTACCTTTCTGTTATACGGAAGTTCAGCCAGGCAAAAATTTAAGACAATACTCTGGGGGCAACTGGGTGGCTCAGTCAGCTGAGCGTCTGACTTTGGCTCAGGTCATGATCTCCAGGTCCATAAGTTCAAACCTTGTGTTGAGCTCTATGCTGACATCTCAGAGCCTGGAGCCTGCCTCCCATTATCTTCCTCCCTCTCTCTCTGCCCCTCTCCCGCCTGCGCTCTGTCTCTCAAAAATAAACATTAAAAAACTTTTTAAATAAAAAATTAAACAATACTCTGTCCAAGGACCTGGTCAGCTATAAAGATGTGCCTGGGCAAGGTCATCTAGCTGAATAGTCAGGGAGAAATGTGTTTGTCAAACTTGTTTCAATCTTTTCTGCCAGAGTTAACATAAGATAGTGAGAAATTTTAGGTAATGAAGACAGAATGAAATATGTGGTCTTTATAACTGCTAGTTAGATGAGAAATAATTGAGTCAATTCTTGCTAAAACAGAGAAAGCTGAAACATTAGTAAAAAAAATAGTTCACCTAAATTTCTTTAAACTTAATAATCATGTTACACTAAAGAAATCTATACTTTGTAATACCATGTTTTATAGACTATTATGATTTTTTGGTACATAAAATAAAAGTATCCTATCATTAATGTTAACAGGAAGTTATAAACTTATTTTCTCAGGAGTGGCTAGGGATACTTGTAAATTTAGTAATACATTAATTAATTTGTTTATTTTTAATTATTTATATTGAGAGAGAGCATTGAGCAGGGGAGGGGCAGAAAGAGAGAGGGTGAGAGAGAATTCCAAGCAGTCTCTGCACCAGCAGTACCGAGCCTGATGTGGCGCTCAAACCCATGAACGACAAGATCAGGACCTGAGCTGCAACTAAGAGATGGATGCTTACCCGACAGAGCCACCCAGAGGCCCCAGTAATACTTTAAAGAAAATAATTTTAATTATTGAAGTATATTTGACATACAATGCTCTATTAATTTCAGGTGTACAATGGAGTAATGTTAATTCCATACATTACTCAGTGCTTACCAGAATAAATATAGTCACCATCTGTCACACATTACTATCATACAACATTATAGTCATACATTTTTGACTAATCAGTTTTGCAACCAATTTTTTAAAGTCATGATTGTGGGAATAAAACTAAAGCCCACTGCCTTGTTGGCAAAAGGCTATGGTAGATGTTTATAGTACGTTTTTATAAATGTAGCTCTCTTAACTGTTTTTCAAAATATAGTTATTACATTTTAGCCTAACTTCTGCCTCTCTTGGCCATTAAATGTAAGTTTACTAAACATATCCATAAGTTATATCCATCAGTTATATCCTTAGGCCAAACAAAAGAGGTCACCTAACTCACTTTTGGTCCCTTAGGTAATTTACTCAGGTCCCATTATCTGACCTCAAAGTCAAGGTTATGAGAGAAAAACACAATGTAAAATCCCAGCAGTTTGGAGGTGAATTAAAAAGCTCCCAAGTTAGTACTTTCCTCAAATGTTAAATAATTCACTGTGGCATTATAGATACAAGCCTCTAGCAAAAGTTACACTTGAACAATTAAGGAAGCAGGAGCCAAACAAATGACTGCAGGGGTAGAGAAATAAATTAATGCTTTCTCATAGTACTGTGCCAAATTACATTTTCACGTTAACAAGTGTGTAAAATGCCCAAGCATCACCAACGACTTACCAGATCAAGTTTGCTTGCAGAAAATAACCTGGAACGACCCACCAGGATTATCTGCTAAATGCTAAATGTAATTATCAATTCTATACACTTGAGTATGAAACTCATTTATATTATTTATAAAGTTTTTATATTCGCAATGTACCACCTACTGTTTTGCAAAGTTCTTTTACAATTGTTCATGTTACTATGACCATCTGCCAAATGTGTTTTGTTCCTGTAAAGGATCAGAAGGTGATGAAGCTGTTTGTTAGTTGCTAGGGAAGAAATGCCCAACACAAGGTCACATCACAGTACGCTGTGTACATACAAATACCAGCACCTGCACAGTATAAAGGGTACACACTTTAGAGCAGAATCAGGATTTAAATCCCAACTCTATCACTTTCCAACTGGGAGATTTTAGACAAGTCTTAATCTTGGTATTAGATTTTTTTTCTGTAAAATGGGAATGATTCATTTATGCCACAAATATTTATGGAGCACCTATTATGCATCAAATAGTACTTTTCAAGGCTTATTTTAGGATGAGAATTTAAAACATAGCTGGTGTTCATTAGAGGTATGTATGGTTATATAGGGTCAAAGTCAGCAGACTGACCAATTATATAGGGTCAAAGTCAGCAGACTGAAAATCAACAAATTCCTAAAGAAAACAGAGATACATGGGATACAAGGTGAAAATGAAGTCCATTTGCTTTCCAGAGACTAACAGGTTATTGGTATTTATTACAGATCTTTAAGTAGTTTCTCTAGTTAATTTAACTAAACAGTCAAGAGTTTTCTATAAAACTCATAAGGTATAGTTATGAGCTCTAATTCAAACAGGTTGGGGAAGGGCATTGATGTATAAAAGATTTGCCAAGTTACTTTCCATTCAGAAGTTTTGAATGGAAACAGTTTTAAGACTGTTTTTGGTATACTAATTTAATGAATAGTCTAACCTATATGTGACATAAGTTCTTTGAATTGGACTAGACAAGCTGAAAGGAGGGTGGCTGGGTAGCTTGGTCAGTTAAGTGTCCGACTTCAGTTCAGGTCATTATTTTGCGGTTTTGTGAGTTCAGGCCCCGCATCAGGCTCTGTGTTGACAGCACGGAGTCTGGAGCCTGATTCATTCAGATTCTGTGTCTCCCTCACTCTCTGCCCCTCCCTGTGCGCGCTCTCTCTCTCTCTCTTTCTCTCAAAAATGAACATAAAAAATAATTTTTTTTAAAAGACAAGCTGAAAGGAATCAAGAAAAAAACATGAACTTTGAAAGAAAAAGAACCATAGCTGGAGCCTCAACTTTTCTCATTTGCCAGCTGTGCCATCTTGAAAAAGTCTCAAGATGTTTGAATATCAGTTTGCTCAAGAGCAAAATAAGTACAACAACATCTCTCATCTATAGCATTTTTGTAAGGATCAAATGGGATAACTGTCATAAAAATGACCTACAAAGCACTAAGCAAATATAAATTGTTTCACAGTGAGTGGGAACTGAAAATGACCCCAATGTATCCCTTTCCAGTGAAGATACTTGTATGGATAAGTGGTAAAAGGTCTACAAAATTATCCTGACCTTGGAGGATAGGTCATTTTTAGCCATGATAGTAATAACTTTCTTGCTTATTAATGAGGAAGGATTACTGGCTTCACAGCTGGTAAGCAATAGTCATCTCTAAATATTATATAGGGAAAAATGTATGAATAAGACTACTAGGAATAAAAAAGCCCCTAAGGTATGGATCGATTTTTAAAGTGAAGCTGTAAGATATATCAGGTGTAAGTCAAATTTCCTAGAAATGCTTCCTTTTGTGAGGAAAATGTCCTTGTCACCCATGTTTTTAGAGTGGTTTTATTTATTTATTTTTATTTGAGAGATGGGTAGGGGGAAGGGAGGGCCAGAGGGAGAGAGAGAGAAAATCCCAAGCAGGCTCTGTGCTGAACGACATGGGGCTCGATTCTATGACCCTGGAACCATGACTTGAGCAGAACTCAAGAGTTGGATGCTCAACAAACTGAGTCACCCAGGCACTTCTGGAGTGGTTTTAATTTCACATGCCAAAGTCCACCTACAAAGGCTATCTAGAGCCTTTTAATTCAACACTAAATTAAATAAAGTTATTGTTGATACACTTATAAAAAATAAGCAGTGATTTAAAAAAATAAAATTGAAAATTTTAAGTTTTATATGCAGTAAAAATGACTCATATTCATAAATTTTTTTATTGTTTATTTTTGAGAGAGAGAGAGAGAGTATGTACTCATGTGAGCAGGGGGAGGGGCCGAGAGAAAGATGGGGACAGAGGAAGTGAACCAGGCTTTTCACTGACAGCAGAAAGCTCAATGTGGGGCCTGAACTCACAAATGATGAGATCATAATGTGAGCTGAAGTCAGACGCTCAATCAACTGAGCCACCCAGGTGCCCCTCATAAATTTAATGTTTAGTCTAAATGTATAGGAGAAAAAATTTCTTATTTTAAGTAACCTTAGTAAAAATCTCTTCACCATAAAAATAAGCATAATAAAATAAATGACGCATCATTTGAAGTATACTACTTCTCCTAAAATGATAGCTGCATCATTATTTTATAACTAGGTATCATTCTGAGTATGTTTAAAAATCGTAAATCCTGGAGTAAGTCTCTGTAAAAATACAATGATACCATGACAATGAAGGAGAGGGAGTCATGAATAGAAATTTTTTTTTTAAATTTGAGAGAGAGAGAGAGAGAGAGAGCAAGCAGGATTGAGGTGCAGGTGCAGAGAAAGAGGGAAAGAGAGTCTCAGGCAGTCTACATTCAGCGCGGAACCCATCGCAGGGCTCAATCCCACGAACCTGTAATTGTGACCTAAGCTGAAATCAAGTGTCATACGCTTAACCGACTGAGTCACCCAGGAACCCCATGAATAGAAAATTATAAATGCCGGAGTAGAAATGAAACACAAATGTACAGGGAAATTTCCCAGTTATGCATGGAGCTGCTAAGTCTGCCAGACTTGTTAAGAACAATAAAAATACCATTAATAACAGGCGGGGGCGCCTGGCTGACTCAAAGGAGCATTCAACTCTTGATCTCGGTGTTGCAAGTCTGAGCCTCACAATGGGTGTAGAGATTGTTTAAATAAATCAATAAATAGACTTAAAAAAAGAGAACAATAAAAATACATTTTTAACCTTATAAAATATTTTAATCTATTTTTGAATCAGAGAATGACAAAGAACTAAATAGTGATTTCCACTGACCACTGTTCAGCAAAAGGAAAGACAATTTAGAGAGTGATGTCAAAAGACCAAGTTCTTCTTACCAGGAATAGATGCCACTGACCATGTCATAGTTCTGACATGATGCATTCGTGCTGCTGGGCCCAGCTGCTTTAGAAATAAGTAACACCACCAAGCCCCTCAACTGGAGGTTATGCCGGCTCTCATATACGAGCCCCCTGCCAACAAAGAAAGAGGAGGATTAACATATTCTCACAGAATCAGTCAGATCAAGTTAGGAAATTGCTACCATTCACCCATATTTCCAAAGTCAGAAATGGGACTTGTTGAAAGAAACAGAATTGGGGGAAGAAAGAGCTACCAGGAGGAAGCAATGAGTTCAGGAAATCAACTAGAGAAACCCAGGGCTGGTTTTAAAAGTGACAGTCTCCAATTGTGAGGCCTAATGATCTGGCTTCCTCCTGTTTCTGGGTTTTCCTATGATCTGCACCCTACATCTCACAATCTCAACCATCTGCTCAACCCATCATTTTAAAGTGCTTTATGGTAGCTGATAGCAACCAAAATACAAATTGTCTGGCTTAGATGAAGTGATGTTATTTGGTGATGATGGTGGTAAGGGAGAGGGGTAAAAAATGATTTCTGTTTTCACATGCTGAGAAGATGCTCAGAGAATTAAAGTGACAAATTCAAATGACTTAAAAATTTATTTGGTAAGTAAAATAGAAACGTATGCCATTAGCAAGTCTTGCCATTTCCTATTATTTATGGAAAGCATTATCATTCTAGACAACAATATGGCTTGAACTTAGCATGTCATTTTATTTTCGCTATGAGTATTGAATTTCCATAATTTTTACTATAACTAAAGCCAGGAATATATGTTTTTTTTTTAACTCAAAGTATTGCAAATGGGTGTCATACTAGAACTAAATATCATCATCAAGAAAGAAAGAAAGAGAAAGATAGAATGAATGATAGGCAATATATTAAATTAATATTTAGAACAATGCTCATGAGCACTAATCAAATAGATATTATGTATATATTATGAATACAGTTCATGAATATAGTGAAAAAAAGTATTAAGATTTATAATATAATACTTCATTAAATTATTAAGTCTTTCCTGGTAAACTTTGAACAAAGAACTAATTTAAATATAGCCAAAATTAATGAGTTAGTTCATTACTTAAGGAAAATTTTTGCCCCTTATGCCACCAAACAGAAATTTTAAAAAAGGGCCCCTCTGTACCCTCATTGGCTTCAAAATAAGGCAGAACTTCAGGTTCTCTGAAGAGGGAAAGACATAGCTCTTTTCTAATTATATTTTCTCCTCAATCCAGTAAGTAATCATCAGCAAGTTTGAGGCGTTAGTAATTTTTAACAAGTTCTAATTTCCTAGGAAAAAGAAGTTAATTTACAGCAATTAAGTTATATCGCAACAGCAACAAAGAATCATCAGAAACATCCAAAGCTCTTTATTATCATGTAGCTTTCTACTTAAAATCCTGTAGACCTGAACTGCGGGGGGACTGGGAAGCACTCCATTTTGGAACAAGTAAATGTAAAATGGGAGCGCTTTCTAAGCTTTTTGCTTTGAATTACAAATTTTAACTTATGCTGCTAGATCCTTATTGATGTATTACCAAAGGTGAATTCTTCTCTGCTTAGATGGTAATATGAAAGAGAAGCTCTGAATTGGCTCTTGATTCTAGAAAGGGAAAAGAGGTGGGTGGGGCTGTGTGTATGTGCCTGTGCTTGTGTTGTGGGGGTTGAATCTGGCTGGGGATGAAGGATATGACGACACAGTAAGAACTCTAAGAGGCAAAACCTGAGAAAAGTCTGACTAAATCATGATGATGAAACAGCTGTGGCTACACTTTTGACATCTTCCTCAAAGTTCAGAGATGGGACCTTTCACAGGAGGCACACAAACAACAGCAGCCAACATTTAGTGTTTCACATATGCCAAGAACTGTTCTAACAATTTACTACATATTAAATTAATTAATTCAGGACAACTCCAAGAGGAAGATACAAGTACCCTGATTTTGCAGATGAATAAGGAGAATGAGGCACACAGAGATCAAGCAACTTGCTCTTAGCTGGTAGGCAGTAGAGCCTTGATGAAGCAAAGATGTGAACACCCATGGCAACCAGCTCTAGAATCTACATACACTCTTGATCATCATGCTATAGTGACTCTCCAATCTGCTTCATCTTATGTATGACAACTACTTACTAAGTCAAATTAGAAGAGTGCAGCTTTAGAAACAGGTTTAAAAAAACTCTTCTCCCATTCATTAGCTGTATGACTTGGAGACCATTACTTCTTCTATAAAACGAGGTTAACGTCTACTTTCTGTAGTCATTGTATGGAAGAGGCAACATGAGTAAAGTATATAACACTGTGGAAGCCCATGGTAGATGATCATGTCATCAGAAAATTACATTCTCTGTCCTTATTACTTTTTTGCCACCTATTTTTTTCTCAACTCATATTTTTTTCTTTCTTCTAGTCCATTTCTCCTCCTCTCAAAGTCAAGCCCATTCTACCCACACCCCTAATCCCCTTTCCTACCTCCCAAAATAACAAAAGTTAAGGAATTCTTACCACACATCCTTAACGCCTGCAAACATCATATATCACTGAAACACTTGGCACTTTTAGAATGCACTCTGAAAAGGTCAGGAAGAAAAACTATAATAGATTGGCTAATAGAAATCAAGAGAACAATCAGAAAAGCACACCTTCTGACCACTAATTTTCATGCAAGTCAGTGGTTAACAACCCAGAGAATAGATGAAGAGCCTAAGAAAATTAAAAAAACTGCTTCCAAACACCACTTCTTCAAATTTACCTCATTAACACCCTTAAGAAAATAGTACTAATTGATAATGTCCACAGCTCAAAAATTAGCTCACAACAATAAGAAATTTTGCTCCTGAGCATAAAAAATCCGTAGGATTCTAAGTTTACAGAGATAATGTTTCATATAGTCCAGGCCTGAAACAGCATGAGTTCTTAGTGCCTCTCTTCAGGATCGACACCAATGAGCTAGAACATGTCTAGAAGATGGTGACTCCTATACTGCCACATGCATGCCTGAAGAAAAAGCTACAGATGCTAGCTAGCTTTGAGGATGGTAAAGTTGGCATTCTCAAATTTATTCGGGCAAAAATGGAGTGAATGCTTACTGCATGTTAGACATGGTACTAAACAACCATGGAGGGCATGGTGACAAGCACCGGTGAGCTGTGGTCTCCCTTCTGTGGATAACAGAGTCTGGATTAAAAACCCCAGTAAAATGTGGCACGACCTACTCTAGGGGATGAGCAAGGACTGTGGGAGCACAAAGAAGGGGCAACTAACATAACTGGGGGCAAAGAGGGGTGAAAGAGACCTCTCTGTGAGACCTAAAAGATGAAGAGGAGGTAGCCAGGGGAGCTAAAGCTGGGAGGGGAAGTGAAGGGAAAAAAAGCGTTCCAAAGAAGAAACTATATGGGTGAAAGTCTGTAAAAAAGACAGGAGGACACAGCTATTTCTAGAACCAACATGGCAGGAGCATAGCATATGAGGGGAAGAGCTGGGAGAACAAAAGCTAGAGGAATGCACAAGAGCTGCCTACTCGTCGGAAAGGGCTCTGTCTGGAGAGGAGACAGAATTACTGCAGAAACAGATATTACTGGATAGAAAATATGGCAGGCCAATTTTGACTCAACATGAAGAAAACACAAAAGTAGCTGCTGGTGATACTGAGTCCCTTGTTAACAGATGTTCAGGAAGCTGCCCAGCCTCTGACAGATGCCTTAGAGAGAGGAGCCTGGCCTATGTGACATCTGAAGTTTTTCCTTATTCTGTGATTCTTTATGGTCTCACCTCACTTATTTAATTATCCAATACTCTACAATATGTATAATAGGTGTAAAAATCGGAAGAATCCTTTATGTCATCAAAATTATAATGTGATGAATGAAAGCAATATTTAGTACCTTATCATCTTTATCACTAAAGTTCCATAGAATTGTGTTCCTTTTAGCCAATGTAGACAAAGACTTCATTCATTCATTCATTCATTCATTTATTTCATACAGACTGAACACTTTTCATACATCAGGCACTGTGCTAGGCAGAGATGCAGTGACAAGCAAAAACAGTCACAGAGCCTGTGGAATTTGCAAGCCAGTGGAAGAGACTGGAAATAATGAAAGAATCACAAATAAACATAAAATTACAATGGTAACAAAATAAAAATATGGTACTATGAGAGCTTATAATAGGGGAACTGACCTAGTAAGGAAAGTCAGAGGCTTCCTTGAAGAAGTGATGACTGAGTTGATACTCAAAGGAAGAACAGGGGGTGGAAAAGGGGATGGTGAGAAGATAACAGAATAGAAGAGTATACCCGCAGCACAAAAACAGGTATATGTGAAGCTGACAGCACTGTACAAAATGAGGCTGGAGACAGACAGGAGAGACCACACAGGTCAAACAGGCCATGGTAAGACTTTTGTTCTTTATCTAAACAGCAATGTGAAGCCATGGCAGTATTTATTAAGCACAAGCACCTGGTGACATGATTGGATATTTAAAAATAAACAAACAACCCCAGAAAGTCCTGTCATCAGTGGAAAAACGACTTGGGTGGAGGGGAAGGAGGAGAACAAAGTGATATGAGGAAATCAGTTAGGAGGCTTTTGCAGTAGTCAATGAGAAATATGGCGGTAGCAGGGCGCCTGGGTGGCTCAGTCAGTTAAGCATCTGACTTCTGCTCAGGTCATGATCTCACAGCTCAAGAGTTCGAGCCCCACGTCAGGCTCTGTGCAAACAGCTCAGAGCCTGGAACTTGCTTCATATTCTGTGGCTCCTTCTCTCTCTACCTCTCCCCCTATTCATGTTCTTTCTCTCTCTTAAAAACAAATAAACATTTAGAATATTTCTAAAAAATAATAAAAAGAAATATGGAGATATAGCATGGTCGACAAACTAGACAAGTACCAAATCTAAAGTAATGACATCTCAATTCAATTTCACTATATGTTGGATACTATTTAGCCCTGGAAAATTAGCTAATACAGATCTAACACTATTTTAAATTATATTCAAGTTATTTTATAGTTTAAACTGTGTATTATAATATATATTATAATAAATAAAATTTACACCCTGAAAAGTCTGTAGTTGAATTTTGGGGGTAGGGAGAAACTTGGCCTC